ACGAGAGGTACCATGATAGACGGTAATAATAACAATGACGATGGGTCAATACAACCAACAAGATATCAAAAATTTCATGCATGGAGGTGTTGACATTAATCCGTAAGATTATTTTTATCTCCTCGGATTACATGTCGTGACATGATATGACCTAAAAGAATGTATTTAAATAATGGTTCGTTCTTATGTGCATTTACTAGAAGTTTTCTATGAATGACGTAAAAAATATAATATTAATTAATATTCGGATAAATAAACAAGAGAAAGATGTAAAAAAATTTACCTTTGCCATAGTAAAATCTAGTACCATCCTCGAAACCTTGAGACCACAAATTACACTTGTTGTGAAGCGTCTTTCCTAGTGCTTTCGGACCACAAAAGAATGTGCCTATATCGGTGGCAGGATGTTTAGCTCGTAGATTCGAAAAGATTTTGTCCCAATTTGGACGACCGAAATGTGTTGGTGCTCGAAGACCAGTGATAGCGTCTCGTTCACCCCCGTCATCATTCACCATCACATTTCGTACTTCGGAATGACGTAGACGACCAGTAAGATAAGTATGGATTTCGATGAATTGCTCGATATCTTGATCTTCGATGGCTGATAACAGAGATTGGAACCATTCAAATGCCTAATATTATTTATTAATATTAATTAAAATCGATAAAGATCAGGATTGAATAAAAAGATAAAATTAATTATTCTTACATCATAATCACGACAGATCCAAAAGAAATAAACTTTACGAAGTTGGGTCGATTTAGATGGATAATTTACGCGATACCTAAATTAATTATTATTAATTAAAGCTTCCCATTATTCGGATCATACGTATCATCATCACTTACCAAATACTTTTAAGGATACTAGCGAATGGAGTGACACCAATTCCTGCACCAACCAACATTGCAATCTCAAACTTAAATACATCTTCGGAAGCACTACCAAAAGGCCCATCTATCATAACTCTCGGCAAAACTTTTTTTAATTCCGGATTATTCGTGGAAACCTCAACTCCAGAGACACCAGATAGATAACCAGGATTTTTATTTGTAGCACCTTTTTTTTCTGATACTTTTTTCAACTTTTCTTCCTCTTCGAAATTACATCCAAGTTTTTCCGCCAAAGTGCGAGTGAAGTCACCAACAACACGAACGTGAATAGAAATATAGTCTTCCTCGGGTGCAGATGTCAACGTGAACGGATGCCATTCCCACACCGAAACTTCCGGACAGCACAAGAAAATGTATTGTCCTGCTTTGGTGGAAATACTGTCTTTTTTAATTTGAATTTCCACGACTCGCGATGGATGCATAACAACTTTCGAGACGTAAGTTTTTTGTCGCGCTCTGATCTCTCGAAGGATACGTTCTCCGATGTAAATTGTGCCGGATGTAATCCAATATTTCCAAAATGAGGCGATACCTTTACAGTACGGAGGTCGATCCGGTTTAATCATACAGAAGGCACCGTGAAATGACCAAGCGGCAAAAAATGGAATAAAAAGATGATGAAGGTACCAAAATCGATTGAAATGAACACGACGCGCTTTTTCCTGTGATGTGTACACCATGATCAATAAAGAAATTAGCATCACGTATCCGGTTAATCCAGGACCGGTTTCGAAATTCAATTTCAGAAACGTAATAATGCCGCCTCCTTGTGCCAATGTCAATTTATAGAAATTGACCCAATGCGACACAGTATGAACAAGTGAAAACGTAAGTATTGAATAACCGATTGCTTTGTGAAATGTGATGTTCTTGTCAAAAGGAATGACATTGTTTAAGGGGGTTGATCGAATCAGCGAGATTAAATTTCGACAGACAGGAAATAAGATCATTGCTGCGTCCACATGAAGTACCAATGCAGAAGATCGCGCAATAGAAAATGTTATGCCAAGAGCACTTCGTGCGTTATTAAAATCATCGCTATAGAAATAATTCAGGAACGCCATAATAAAAACTAACAGGTGCAATATTATCCAAACAGAGAAGAATATTGCACGGTTTCCTTTGATATTTAGTAAATAAGATTTAGAAGTTAATTAAGAATTAACGAATAAATAATCGTGCAACAAGATTCAACTAGTCAAAAATCAAACCTTCATTAACCATCCATGCTTGAAATTTTTGATATCTTGTTGGTTGTATTGACCCATCGTCATTGTTATTATTACCGTCTATCATGGTACCTCTCGT